TCATTAATCATTAACAATATTTTCTGTTATTTAATCATTTAAAATAAAGACAATATCCTAGTAGTCACGTAAGTGCTTTTGAACAAGTCCAGAGAGAAAGATTGTTTGAAGCAATATGCTGGGGGCTGATATGGCTCAAAGGTAAGTGTCTGCCTTGATTGTACTATGTCTGGGTTGGCTCTCTGGCAACACACACACACAAACACACACACACACATGCACACATGCATGCACGCATACACACACCTCAAAGTAATACATGTTAACTGCCCAGAGGGCCACTATAAGATATATATGTGGATTCATGCATTGATAGAAGTTGAAATCTGTACATATTGGTCATAGTCTCCACTTGTTCACACAGAAATTTTTTTTCGTTTTTGATTTTGGGGCCTGATGATGCTCTGGTATATTTTTTTCCTTTTTGGGTCACACCCAGTGATGCTCAGGGGTTACTTCCGGCTCTGCACTCAGGAATTACTCCTGGCTGTGCTTGGGGAACCATATGGGACGCCAGGGGTTGGACCCAAGTCAGCCCCGTGCAGGGCAAACGTCCTCCCTGCTGTGTTGTCGTTCCGGCCCCAGGGATTACTCTTGACTCTATGCTCAGGGATCACTCCTGGCGGTGCTCAGGCAACAGGGATTGAAGTCTGGTAGGCTGCATGTAATAAAAGCCCCCTACCCGCTGTACTATCCATCTCTCTGGCCCGGATGCAGAAATTCTTGTCTCCAGAATGTTCCCATTGGACATGTCTGGATGTCGCTAGGGGCTGGTCTGGGTCTGCCCAGGAGCACCTGTTCTCAAGCTCCTGCTGCCTCTGTCTTCCAAAACCCCAACTGGGGGGAGCTCATTACCACCATTGCTACAAGGTCCAGGCTGGCCATTTTGAAAGGCCACAGTGTGGCTAGGTCTCCCACAGAAGGGACAGAGCCTCTCTTCCCAGCTCTGTCAGTTTTCCTAACCCACCAAGCCACTCTTTTGAGCTCAGAGCGCCCTTTCACATAAAGTTCTTTTGACGTGGGGTTCATCCATGTTTTCGCTCATACTCCAACCTCTGAGTAACCAGAGGGTCTTCTTTTCTTTCTTTTTCCTTTTCTTTTTATTGAGGTGACACAGCTTACACGAGTATTAATATTTTAGGCATGTGATGCTGTTGTACCATATCCACCACCAAAGTGCCAAAGTTTTTCCACTGCTGTTCTAGGTCCCTCCTGTAGCTGCTTGGTTGGTAAACTCAGATCTGTTGGCAGAGCCTGAGTTTGCTTCATTGGTTGTTATTAACCCGGACTCTGTTTTTCTCACACAAATAAGCACATTCAGTACTTCTCTCTCCTTTAACCTTAATTTGCTTAAAAGGATAAAGCCTAGTTCCATCAAGTTATAAAAAAAAAAAAGGCAAGAGTATATTTTGTCTTACAGCTGAGACATGTTGGCTGCGTGCAAGGCAAACGCCCTACCGCTGGGCTGGAGCGATAGCACAGTGGTAGGGCGTTCGCCTTACAAACGGCCAACGTGGCCGACCCGAGTTCGATTCCTCCGCCCCTCTCGGACAGCCCGGCAAGCTACCGAGAGTGTTCGATATGCCAGACACAGTAACAACAAAGTCTCCAATGGAGACGTTACTGGGCCCGCTTGAGCAAATCGACAATCAACGGGAGGGCCTTTACCTTACCTTTTACAGCTGAGACATGCAGTATTGAGTTTGGTGCTGGCAATACCTATAAACACCAAGAAGGAAAATGCAGGGTTGTTTGCAGAATGCACGGTGGGCTGCCAGCAGGGGGCGCCTCAGGCTCCTGCCCCTCAGCTGTGCTTGGAGCCACAGGAAACATAGCTTAAAACACCAGACGCTTTTGTTCTTTCTCTCCTTTTGGGTGTTGTGGTTTGCAAAAGAGGCATTGAGTGGCAATCATATTTGGTCTATAGTATACTTTCAGCATGCTTCTCCCATGCTGGGAGGATCCTCCCAACACCCTTTATTTGGTGCTCCCTTTTCTATCTGAGCTCCCTTTCCCTCTAGCCTGTGTGAATGCCCTGCCACAGAGGCAGGGTGGGATAGGGGAGGATGGGGGTGGGAGGGATACTGGGACCCGTGTTGGTGGAAAATGGGCACTGGTGAAGGGATGGGTACTCGATCATTGTATAACTGAGACCCAAGCACAAAAATTTGTAAGTCTACAACTGTACTTCATGGTGTTTCACTAATAAAAATTAAAAAAAAAAAAAGACACAAACCACATTGCAAAAAAAAAGTCACAAGGATGGGTGGGCTCCCCAGGTCACCTGGTACAGACCCATTCCCCCACCCACTCCCTACAAAGCTCTGCAGGAACTCTGCCCTGGTCTGTCTCATCCTAGCTGTGGTTGTGATGGCAAGGTGGCGACACAGCCTGGAGGGGAACAGGATTGCACCCCCTCTGTGACCCATTTCTATGATTTTCACCTGTGACCCCGAGGCAGTATCCTGCGGGCCCTGTCTGGGAATCACTGCTCTAGGGCACAGAGGAAGCAGCAGGAGGAGTGGAGGCTGGAGAGTAGGGGGTGATGAGCGTGAAGGTGGATGCTGGGGCCTGGAGCAGGGTGGCAGGAGCCTTGCCGGAGAGCCTTTGAGGGTTTTGCAATGAATTCATTTTTAATTTTTATTGTGGGAATGGGGTGCAGCAGCACGGGGTGTGTGTATGGCGGGGGGAGTGAGCCACACCTGGCTGTGCTCAGGGATCACTCCTGGCAGTGCTCAGGGAACCGTATGTGCTGCCAGGAATCAAACCCAGGTCAGCTGCATGCAAGGCAAGTACCATACCCACTGTTCTATCTTCTCAAACCCTGGGTTCATTTTTTGCAATACAGGTATTGAAATGTTATCATGCATATTCCTTTACCTACCTGGATTCATTTTTAAAAGCATTTAAACCTAAGGTAGCTTTGATTGCTGGGAAAGAATGGGTGAAGAGGCAAGAGGAGGCAAAGGGAGCTGGACATGAGCTGTGGTCAGCAGCTAATCCGGTGGGACTGGGTTATTTGGTGGAAGGGAGCAGGAGGCATTCTGCGTGTTCTCCTCCTAGAGTTCTAGCCCAGACACGGACATGTCCCATTAAAGGTTTAAACATTGCTCTCTGGGCTCATGACCACTACTCAAACATAGCTACATTTATTACATTTATTAGATTTATAGTCGTTAGAGGGCTGGAGTGATAGCACAGCAGAAAGGCGTTTGCCTTGCACGCAGCCAACATGGCCAACTCGAGTTCGATTCCTCTGCCCCTCTTGGAGACCCCGGCAAGCTACCGAGAGTATCTCGCCCGCATGGCAGAGCCTGGCAAGCTACCCGTGACGTACTCGATATGCCAAACACAGTAACAACAAGTCTCATGATGGAGATGTTACTGGGCCCGCTCGAGCAAATCGATGAACAGCAGGAGGACTGTGACTGTGACTGTGACTGTTACAGCAATCACACAGTAAACCGCTGCAGAAAGAATCGAATTCCCTCCCTTTGGCAGGGAGGTTCAGAGTCGGAGGGTGAATAGAGAGTGGGCCACGGCGCAGACATCTGAATCCTGCCTTGCAAATTCCCGCACAACTGTTCTCTCCATGGCAACACAATAAAGGGCAAAGTGAGAGTCAGAGCAGACCCAGGAGGGAGAGTTCCTGCTTCCTCCTGCCAGTCATTAACTGGCACGCTTCTCTGGATTGTGGAGAGCAGTCCCCCTTCCTCTTCAAAGCGAGCTCACACTCAACAGGAATGTTTGCAGGGAACAGGCTAGATGCTGAGGTCCTGCTCATCACACGAGAAAGACACGAGAGCGGCCACCTCCACAAACATGGTTGGACCCGGTATGTTCATCAGCCCTGAAACCTCTGGGGTTACAGATTCAAAGCCCTAAACGTCTGCCCCACTGCAGCTCCCATCCAGGGCTCCAGTCTTCTATAAAGAAGAAGACTGTCTTCTTCTTCACTAAACCCACCGCTGTGCAATCTTGTTCTAGCTCTGCATCTCCACCCTCTAATGCCAACCTCCTTTCGGGAGATGTGCCCCACCCCCAAGCCCAAGCCCCTCCCCTCTAGGATTTCCCACCATCTTCTCCAAACAATATAGACCTCTCAGCTCTCTCAACTTCTCAGGTGTTAGAAGTCTCGAGCACACCACGTGGAATTTTCGTTATCCCTTGACTGGCAATGCCTATTCCTTCTCATGGGAAATGCAGCAGGTTTAGGGAGAACCTCACTGAGCTCCTTCTGGGTTTCTCATTCTAAAATCTAAAGAGGGAATAGGGAGGATTGCTAGCAGAGAAAACTTAACTGCATTTAGAAGCCGTCCAGAATGCACATCTTGACTCACAAGGGGCGAAAAATGGTGGAGTGAGGGGAGGTAGCGGGTGGCAGGGCCTGACGCTGCTACTGCTACTTGCTGGCACAATTCCTCCTCAACACCTGAGTCTTGTGAGGCTTCTGAACGAAAGAAGAGGAATTTTTCTCCAACAAGCCGTCCAGACACTGAGAAAGGACTTGTGTTTCCTCTGTGCCAGCCACAGTGGAGATGTGTGTCCAGCAGGGAAGTGGATAGGCCCCAATCCTGGCCAGACAGAATGTTCTTGTTAGCGAGAGATCTTCTGGGAACGAACAGAAATATTTCAGGGGCGTTTTTTTTCGCAGATCATGAAGGCCATACCAGCGCTATGGTTTAACGTGGCCCCATCAGCACCCGCTAGGCCTGGTGGAAGTTCAGACACGTGGGCAGAGCTGAGAGTTGGCGCTCAGGAGGGAAACTGACCCGTCCCCGAGCCCGCGAAGGCGCCGCGCCTCCCCGCTCCGCCAGGGGGCAGGAGAGGTCACATTAGACACAGTCGGGAGGACAGAAAGAAGGAAAAAAAAAAAAAACCCAACTTTTACCCCAAACTGTGTTCCTCCGTGTGAAACCGAACCCTCCAGCTGCGGCGTCCCAGGCACCCCTCCGCCTTCCGCTGAGCTCCTGCCCGGACCGGTGGCTGTCGGTGCGCGCTGGCTCCGGGGTCCCGGCCCCTGCGCCCCCAGCCCTCGCCCTGAGGATGAAGCTCTGGATGCTGCTGGCGCTGCTGCTGCTGCACCACGCGCTGCAGGACGGTGAGTGACCCCGGGCCTGTTTGGAATCTCGAGCCCCCCAACCCCCCGCCGCCCCAGCTCGTCCTGCCCCGGCCCCCTGGCTCTCCACCCAGCATCTCTCATCTCGAAGCCCCTGCACCTGCCCCTCCCTGTAGGGTCTCTGTACCCCCGACGCACCCCTCTCCGGGGACCCCGCCAGGGACCATGGCAACTACTTGATCCTTGGTTTCCCCACCCCACTCCGCCACCCCCGGCTGCCCGGCATCCCGGGCAGCGCCTGGTCCAGCCCCCAGTGTCAACGTGTCTGTGTGGGATGTGGCGCCGCGCGCTTGGATGCTGCGGGCCGGCAGCGGGGTTCCAGTCTGCACCCCTGCACCCGGGCGGTTCCAGTCTGCACCCCTGCACCCGGGCAGCTGGCTCCGGAGCGAGGCTGCCACCTCAGCAAGGCGAGAGCTCCTCCTCCTCCTCCTCCTCCTCCTCCTCCTCCTCCTCCTCCTCCCCTCCTCCTCCTCCTCCTCCCCTCCTCCTCCTCCTCCTCCTCCTCCTCCTCCTCCTCCTCCCCTCCTCCTCCTCCTCCTCCCCTCCTCCTCCTCCTCCTCCTCCTCTCCTCCTCCTCCTCCTCCTCCTCCCCTCCTCCTCCTCGTCCTCCTCCTCCTCCTCCTCCCCTCCTCCTCCTCCTCCTCCTCCTCCTCCCTTCCTCCTCCTCCTCCTCCTCCTCCCCTCCTCCTCCTCCTCCTCCTCTCCTCCTCCTCCTCCTCCTCCTCCTCCCCTCCTCCTCCTCCTCCTCCTCCTCCTCCTCCTCCCTGAGCATTTGCTTTCTCCATCGCCCTGGGCATGCACCCAGAAAGCTGTACCTAAATTCTAGCACCGATCCTTCTACAGAGGCAGCCTCAAAAACGAGGGCCAAGCCCAAGGCTGTTAGGCTTCTCATCCGTTTGCGCGAAGAAAAAGTCAAAAAGGATGAAGCAGCAGCAGCAGCAGCAGCAGCGCTTTGGCACAGGTCATGGAGCCTTGTTGGCACACAGTATTGAGTAGATTCCGGGCCACAGGGCCGGCTCGGGGCTCTTTTTTTTGGAGAGGGTTGAGAGAGGACCACATTCGGTGGTGCTCGGAGTTCACTCCTGGAGGGATTCGTGGGGATTATGGGACACTGGGAATCAGACCCCAGGTGACAGCACAGGGCCAGGTTTTATGTGTGTGCCTCTGCGAGCCCCCGGTCCCACAGGTTATTCGCGTGTCTGTGTCTTGGTGATACTGTCAGCATTTGTTTCGTTGGCTTCATTTTTGTTCCACTGGTTCAGTTTGCATCTTGGGTACACATCTCGGTATCCTGAAATCCCCCTTGGGATTCCACAGCTCCAGCCCCAAGTTTTGTTTAGTTTTGGTCGAAAAGCAGCCTTTACTGTTACGTAATTCCACATCTGGGCCAGCTCCACCTGGCTCACATTTAATGCACTGCTCCATCCCCCATAGTCCCTTTTTTCCTGTGGAGGTAGAAAGATTTGTGAACCCCACCCCCTCCTTCCCAAGTACCACCTTCTAGTTTGCAAAGTTCAAGATGTTGGTGGCACTTGAAAGGGAGGTGAGATTCTTAAGTCGGGGGTGGTGCTTTGGACACCCTTTTAGCAGGGATTGGAAAGCCATGGAAAGGCAGTGTTTAGTGTAATTTGGGAACAGGACAGAGAAGGGCAGACACAAGCATTTCCAATCACCCACTCACATGATTAATCAACTCCCCGCAATGCGTGTCTCAGGCCAGGAGAGGACTTTAGCTGCTGTCTCCTCCTGTCTTCCGGCCCACATAAACTCAGATATGAGGACTATTTTTTTTGGGGGGGGGGCTACACCAGGCGATGCACAAGGGTTACTTCTGGCTCAGGAGTAACATGCACTCAGGAATTACTCCTGGGCGGTGCTCAGGGGACCATATGGGATGCTGGGAATCGAACCCCGGTTGGCTGCGTGCAAGGCAAATGCCCTACCCGCTGTGCTATTGCTCCAGCCCAGAAATGAAGTCTATTAAAGTTTGCCTGAGTCATCTGTTTAAAGCAGACATACAAATGCAATTCAAAAGGAAGACATGGATGAGGCTGTAAGGGAAAGTTGAATGCAGATGGAATCATTTAATAAGGTATGAGGTGGATTTTAGGTGTGATAGTAGGTTTGTGTTTTTGTCTTTTGATGCGTGCATCAAAGGGCTGGAGAGAGGGTTCAAAGAGCTGAGAGCACACACTGGTTCAGGAGCCTCTTCAGTGTCTGGAACTGAATTACCCCATGCAGCATTGGTATAGTCCAGAAACAAAAATATAACAACGAAGTGTGTGTATGTGTGTGTATTGTGTTTGCGTGTGTGTATGCATGTGTAATTTAAAACATGTAGATGGGCTGGAGTGATACTACAGCAGGTAGGGCATTTGCCTTGCACGCAGCCAACCCGGGTTCAATTCCCAGCATTTCATATGGTCCCCTGAGCACCGCCAGGAGTAATTCCTGAGTACAGAGCCAGGAGTGACCCAAAAAGAATATATATATATGTAGAAAATAATAAAATGGTAAAGACTCATTAGGAAAATGAAGTCTTTGCATTTTATTTTACATTTTATAAAAATGTTTCCCTAAATCCACTAGGAAGACTTTTCTGTTTTGAGTTCTCCCATGGCTGCCTGGAGACAGGAATCATGAGTGAGAGTGATTTTTAGGGAAAGCCCTTTCAGTTCCTATGAGAAGTAGGTCCACAAAGACCATATAAAGCACATGCCAAGAACCACAGCCTGTGACTCACTTGCCCCACTGCCTCTCCACTTTCCAGATCACGCCTGGGTGGGACCTTCTAATAGCAGAAGACTTCCCTGCCACATACCCAGGGAATATCTGCTCTAGTGTCTAAATGATTTATTCAAAATCATATTTCCCAGAGAAAAATTCTCTTTCCAGGAGAACTAAAGAGATTCATTGTAATATAAAGGCAAGTCAACCAGGATAGAAACCCTGTGTTGAATAACAGGGTGAGAGTGGGCTTCCCTGTCCTGTTTCTGATATTAGAGGAAAGACTTTCAGTTTTTGCTGAGAATTATATTAGCTGTGAGTTTATGATTTATGGACTTTACTATTTTGAGGTAAATTCCCCTGTCCTCATTTTATTGAGGCGTTTAATCATAAATCAGTGTAGAATTTTGTTGAATGCTCTCTTTGCACCTTTTGGCATGATTCTATGATTTGTATCTTTCCTTTTATTGATTTGTGTCACATTAATTGACCTGCATATATTGGGTCAAGCATATATCCCTAGAATAAATCTCTTTTGACATGGTGTAGGATCCTTGGTGATTTTTCCTATAGAAGGGGGTCTACCAACTTGGGGGTGGAGGGCTCATCTAGGAAAAGAGGGAAAATGATTGGACCAGAGATATACATAGTATAGGGGTTAAGGTGCTTGTCTTGTATCATATCACGCTAAGCCTGGTTTGAAATCAAGCATCAAATATGGTCCCTGAGCACTCTCGGGGGCACATCTGAGCACAGAGCCAGGATTAGCTCCTACCAGTTGTATAACCCCCACCCCCCGCCCACCCACAACCAGAGAAAGAAATAGTGGGAAGGTATTATAGAGTGGACTTAGCCTGAACAGGGAGCATAAAAGTTTATCTTTCCCCAAGTCTCCAGTACCTTTGCTTTCCTAACGTCCTAGCTTGGTTCTTGGAAAAGTGAGTGAGTTCCTGTAGGATGTTTCCAGGAAGAATGGAAAATGAGAGAGGGCATGTGTATGTTAATGTAACTCAGAGACAGGAAACCCCTGAGCTACTCAGCAAATTCTTAGTAGGGAAGTCTCAAAAATTCCCTCACTCTCGCCCATTTCCCCTCACCTTTCACTCCTTTCACTTTCCTTGGGGAGAAAAAAAATCCAAAAACTGCAGGTCTTTGGTGCTTGTGACAGCGTTCACAGGAGTCCTCAAATGCACAGCTGTTGGGGATTTTTTTAGTGATTTTTCTCCATCAACATTATTCTTTAGGAATAGAACTTTGAATGAGTAAGAATTGATTGCAATTCTGTTAAAGGAGAAGAATTATAGTCTCTCAGTCTGCTTCTTGCTTTGCAAATGTGTTCATTTTGTAGCTGTATTTTGGACCAGCAAATCCTCACTTGGGAATTGTAATAGATGCCTTAGAAAAAGATCTTTTAGTCCTTGTGGGAAGATCATACCATCCCTGGCATTGGGTTTCATTTGACTTGGAACTCCTTTTCAAAACCTGGATATAACAAACAAAGAAACCACTCAGATAATGGTGCTGTGCATGAGATTAGTGCAAATAAAACTGCTATAACAAGCTAAATTCTAAGAGAACAGTGGGAGTCTCTAGGGCAACGACATGAAGCAGGAAAAACTCTTAACCTGGTTTCTAGGTGATTTCTCACTACTTTCACCTAGGGTGTGCTTCTTGACACACATGAGTTGAATTTGTATGTCTAATGAATTAGAAATAATAACTGTGTTATCTCCATCATAAATTTCTCATGGAACTCACTATGAGACATGATCATGAGGTAATCGCAAATAGCACTCAGCTAATACCATGAATCACTTTTCTCAGTATTTTAACCATATTCATTCATTCATAGCAGTCTCTGAGATAGTCATTATTACTCTAATTTTCAACTGACAGATCAGAAAATTAAGACAAAATTCCTGTGGTCACATAAGTAGCATAGGGCAACCAGGACTTGAAGTCAATAATTATATTTAATGAGTTGTTAATTTTACCACCAATTTTTCTTCAAATCTTAAAATTGATTATCTCAAAAAATGCAATGATAATGTACTTTCAATATAAATTCTTATTTTCTTAGGTCTTTGGAAAATAATTTACAATGATTAGACAATTTTTTCTTCAAATATTAGATATAGCATTTTTGAATCACTCAATCCTAAAACTTTCTGGGTGACTATAGGGTTTCCAGACTATGTTATTACCATCAAACCATGGACCAATTCCATGGGCAGGAAGCTGGACCAATAATACAC